CGGTCCTGGCATCCAAGCTGCCCATAAAGACCAAGATCCGGATATACAAGATGTATATCCGGACTATTACCACCTACGCTGCTCCGGCCTGGTACGCGCTTCTGAGACCCAGAGGCGGCGATTACAGGCTCAGCAGAACCTGTCATTAAGGACGATTGTCGGAGCAGGTCGTTACGTCCGGAATGACGTCATAGCGGCCAATCTGAAAGTCGAGACCATCACCGACTTTGTGGCCCGGTTAGCGCGCGGCACGTTTGACCGTGCCGATAACGGGCCACATAAACACCTGAACGGCTTTGCGCCGTTACACACCCGGCCACCGGACGGGCGACCTCTTCCAAGAGAACTCCTCTCTATATGTGATTAGAGAGTCGAGTAACAACCCACAATGCCGCAGAAAGGCCAACTTAGACTTATAGATTACCTCTATAGATTACCTCCCTTTCCCTAGTCTGTGAACTACGGAAAGTAATTTCTTATCCGGCTACATTATATAATGTGCACGCCAAGATAGGCAATAAGTGACTGCCCCATAGTTATGGGGTATGAGGATATCCGGGCAATGGGGTATACCCCGAGGCCCGATACCTGCACGTACCTAGGTACGTGTAGAAGACATCAACTTAACTTTACTTGCAATATGTTTTGGGCCCTCCTTTCTGCCAAGGAGGGTCGCGTCCGTATACGGCTTAGGGATCTCTCGTCAGATCGGTAAGCCAATCCAAAAGGGGATTAGTGGGTCAAAGTCTCCACATAACCACGCAGCCGGCTGCGTGGTATGCTATAAGCATTCCCCACCTCCCTCCTCCGCTTTCCGGAGGGTAGCCCATAATTGCTTCGGGCGCAAAGAAAAATTGCAATTTGTTCGGGAAAGTTCGGGAAAAGCTACGGTTACCAGTTATAGAAAGAAGAACGTATTAGGGAAAAGTAAAGTGAAAGTATAGGGAAAGTAGTTATCACATTTTCTAGGAGCAGTTACAAGTAATTGCTGTTTTATTTCACCAGTGTCGATCCTATAAGTAGGGAATTAAAGAAGATATACAGTCCACTAAGTTCATGTCTGACATCTAGACCGGAACCCACTGTACTCGTGATCTTAGTCGTTAACCACTTTCCATTGAGAGAGCGGTTATGTGTTTCTAAATTAAACGTCTTATTAGAGGTCACGCCCACCGCGTTGCTTCCCGAGCCCAACGAGGTGTGGCATAGGAAAGAGGGCCCGTACTTGGTTGATCATTGCTATGGCGTGAGATTAAGTAGCAAGAATGTCCCTTTTCAAGGTATATAATCCTAATAACCCGCAAGTCGCCGCTTGAGCTCCATAAAGGGCACTCATTTCAATATTACAGACAACCACTTCAGTTTTATTGTTTTAATATATTTAGTAATAATGTATTTTGGAACATGTAAAAAAAATGAAAATATACATATTTATGATAGCTTTTATAAAAGTAAACGAGAAATGTTAATTTCTATTTATAAAAATGCATTATAGATTTTATAATTAAATTTTAAGAATATCTTGTTTAATATGTGCCTCAAATCTCCAAAACTATGGAGTGTAGAAGTAAGAAGTACAGACTGTGTATTAAAAAGTGTCCATAAAAACCTTTAAGTGAGGGTGGCGCCACTATAGCTACGGGGAAAATTTTAAAGAACGCAACTTTTAGACTTTTTCAAGGTTATATTTATTAAATGAAATTATTTTAGATTTTAGGGCTACTGAGCAGTTTAGCAGTACACACTTAAACCGGCGACAACTGCTAAGTTCATTTCATCCCAGTAGCTACTCCAGCGCTGTTGTGGAGAGGTTTTAAACTGTTATTTACTGCTTACAGATGACCACTTTTTCAACTATTCTACTATGAGAGTTGATACTCCTTACTTCTACACTCCATATCCAAAACGCTATCCGCCATATTAGATCCCGTCGTGATGTCTTTTTTGTAGTAAACAAGGTAATGTCTTGATTCGAAATGTTTCTAGTTACTATCACGATTGTTGACTCTTATTCCATAATTTATTGAAATGGCATCATAGAATTGATGGTGCCGACATTTTTGCATGCGATCCCGTTTTTTGTTCTGCTTAGTTGATGAATATTATAACAATGTAAGCACCTATTACCAACTTTAGTTTATACCACAGACTACTATGATGCTTACGCATGTTTATACCATAACACCAGGTCCGAGTGTCTTTTCATAATATATATTTATGTTTATCTATGACTGCAATCATTAGCAATCATTAGTCACATCTAAGATAAAAATGAAAAAATGCATAAAATCGTATCTAACAATTATATTGAACATAAAAATGATATAAAAAGCACATTGTTACAAAGATAAATTATTGTTGAACTTATTATTTTAATCGATTAATTGCTATTTAATCTGTTGTACATTGTGGGTAATTAATTATTTTATGGGGATTACATCAAATCCCAAAAACATCCTATGTTAAAGGAAGTTTGTATGTGAATCTCTTTGTGCCTGTGTCTGATCAAATAAATTGTATTGTTTAAAATTTTAATAAAAATTTCCAAATTTGGAAAACAATCGAACTAAATAGTCTCTTTTTTTAAGATAAATTGTAAATTGTCTCAGTAACGGCTCAATAGTTAGGCATGTATTATATACCAAAAACACCGCAATGACGCATTTAACAATTTGTGTTGTTAATTTTTTTTTTAATTTCATTTACCATTTTTGAATAATAAAGAAATACCCAAAACTACAATAGCACCTCGCGACAAGCACTCCCGCAAAGACCTGTGACGGATACTCCGGACGCAATACATCAGTGTCTCGACGACTCCTAAGTCAAATCATCAAGGTCATTGGGCAATGTAATACCCTTAATATTATACGTATATGTAAGTCTGCGGTCAAACCAATGTTTTAGATTATGTCGAGTTATTTATTTTTGTATTGATAACTAGAATATCACACTGTTTAAGATTATTAAATCTTAAACAGAGTAATATTCTAGTTTATTCTAAATTATTAAAAGAAATATAAATCATGTTTTATGATGTAAAAACTTAAGTAATAATATCCAATTTTATTGGAGACTTGTAACTGAAACCACACAAGCAACGCCATCTGTAGTTTAGCACTGCTAAATTACAAGTCTATATATATATATTTTTTGTGGTGTGTGTGTGTATGACTGTGTGCGGCAGCAACATCTTTTATTTAAACAATTTTTTATTGTTTTAAATTGATATCAGGAATATCAACTTCAAATTTAACATTGTGGTTGTGAACACGCCCGCCAAGCACTAACTATGACTAATATCCCCCCTATGAGACGAACTACTATGGGGGATACTATGTTCATTAATAATAATAATAATGTTCTTCAGACCGAAATTCGGTCACAGCGGCCTGCCTCAACGGAGACTAGCCATCAGCGCAGGACAGGACTATAGTGCCCAAGTGTATGCGCAAGCACAGGTGCACTCACTATTCCCTCACTCTCGTAACTCGTCCGATGGGACGGTAAACCGACACGACCGGAGAGAGGTCAGACGTAGGACCAACGGCTTTACGAGCTTTCCGAGGCACAGGGGTGAGACACCGCCAACTTTCAGACTCCGGGCAGCTACTGAGAATTTCTTGACGGTGAAACTCAATTATTGATTTTTGCCTGACCCAGGATTCGAACCCAGGACCTCATGATCAGCAGTCGCACTACTACAACCACTAGACCATCGGGGCAGTATATTAAAAAAAAGTGGAGTTTAATAAGGTATAAGAATTTTAAGAATAAAATCATTGATTCTGACTGGAATCAAACTCGAATAGTCACGTTATATAAAAATATGTAGCCTTCGAAGCACTTCGATTCTTAGATAAAATTCATAAAAATTGAAAGTTTAGTAATGTTTCAATTCTTAACGTGAAACAAAAACGCGCGAGTATGTATATCATAATAATTCATAATGTATGAAAAATTAGAAGCGGCAATAGGTTAACGGTTCGGAGAGTTCGGACTACAAACGATAGGTTTGAATCCGACATTCATTCATATGGTAAACCACATATTATGCATTTTAGGCTTACTTCAAGTGGCTACCGGTTGTATTAGCTAGTTTTGGTCCTTTTTTGGACTTCACTATTTACCATGATATCCTGTCGCTAGTATTTTCTATAATGAGGGAGAAATTTTAGAATAATGTTTGCTAAGCTGTGTGATATATTATATAAGCAAATCTATTGATGTATATCGCTTAGCCTGATCTATATATAATTAACTGTGGTAAAATATTTAAATATTATCAGACACATATATAATTCAGATACATTTAAAATACTCACGTAACTAGAGGTAGTAGAGTTTTAATTTATCTATTTTATTTATATATTCTTTATTTGCACACCAAGTACAAAAAGGCGGACTTAATGCAACAGGGCATTCAATACCAGTCAACTCCAGGCAAGCAGTAAAATTATTGTGGGAGTTAAAAATATATATGTCAACTACTACTACATACTCATATACATATTATAAACATAATTAGACTAATATATTATATAGATATACGTACAATATATGTTTTGGTACATACATAATTATATATAGCATTTTCTGTTTCAAACACCTAAAGAATATGTAAAATAAAAACAAGAAAAGGGAAAAGTTGGAATTTAAGGATATAAAAAAGATAAAAGAATGGAAATCCACAAACTACTCTTGTAACTTCAGATAATGAATCCTGAACAATACCTTGCTCATGGCTACTAGTACATTGCTTGGTAACTCGTTCCACAATCTTACCGCATAAGGAGTAAAAGATTTGTACAAAAAGCTAGTATGACAGAGGGGACATGGAAATTAGGATAAACGGAATTCTATGTAATTGAAATAAACAACTCATAACATCACCGTTTACTTAAGAAAATAATATTTTACAAAATAGAATAATAAATAGTTTTTTTTTCTTCAATAAATTAAACTTAACTTTAAACACTGATCGACAGTAGAGATCGGGCTTATGACGAAACTGGGACAACTTCTGGAGTTTTCTCAGGGGTAGCTTCAATTTCTTTAACACGAGCACGGCAGCTTAGTGTGACCGGGTCCCTTTCGCGATCAGGACCACACTGTTCTGTGGCCCCTAGAAGCTTGTACTCGTCCCGTTCAGCTGGCTCCGTTTCCAATCGTCTCCGTCCTGCGATTACAACTTCAGCCGCTCGCCCGCCACCTCCCGAGGACCTCTCACTGCCAGGCCCTATTTCAACCTGGTAAGGCGTGTTAGGCTCCACGAAAGCTTCCATAACTTGAATATCAGCGCGGTCCTGAGCATCTTCATTGTTGCGTTGCTTCGATCTCTTCACTAAGCCATCGAGCAAACTGTTAGGGAACGACAGTTTTTGTGGTATAGCGACGATTAATACGACATTTTGCACGTCGGCGCGTACGTTGAATTCACCGTCTTGGCGCTCGTCATATGTGGCGGGAACGGTAGGCGCGGCGGTCGCGGCCGCGAGAATACACGTTATAACTAGCAGCATATCGCGTGTGTTTGTAGCACCTCCTGGACGATGACTGCGCGCCGCCGTCATCTCCCACGCGGCTTTTACCGAGCACCCACGAACCAGTCCGCTGCAGAGAATCGAGCACACAGTAACGGTTAACACGACTTGAGCGCTATCACTATCTTTGCATATGCCCATGAGAAACAGTTAACATTAATTACTAGTCTATAATTATTGATCAATCTTAAACAATCTTTAACTAAACCACATGAAGTCGAAATTAGTTAAATAATAACATATAACACACGTTTAAAAAGGAGGTTATATGTGCCACTTATGTATACACACAATCAAACTATGTTATGAATTTTATGGAGCCGGCAGTTGTGTATCACCTTTGACAGTGACCTAAGGTCAATAAGCGATAACCAAGTTTCTAGTGCACATTTCATCCTAAACTATTTTGTAGGTATATATGAAATTAAAAACAATATATATATATATATATATATATATATATATATATATATATATATATATATATATATATATATATAAAAGTAAAGTAAAGTTACAGCCTATATACGTCCCACTGCTAGGCTCAGGCCTCCCCTCATTTCTGAGAGGGTTTAGGGCAAGGAAGTGTCCGCCGCGCTGCCCAAATGCGTGTTGACGAACTTCACATGTCTTCGAAATATTTTTTTTCTTATTCCTCAGACATGCAGGTTTCCTCACGATGTTTTCCTTCACCGCCGAGCACGTGGTAAATCAGCACTTAAAATTGCAATTAACAATTTCATTGGTGCCGGCGGGGATCGAACCCGGGTTACTCGCCTTTTGTTTTATTTATATATTTACAGCGATTAACCACTGATCTAACTATATATATATATATATATTGTTTTAATTTCATACGGTAGATAAATTTTATACCTATCTTTAGAATAAAACAATTTTTTTATCCTACACCTGGATTACAGACATCGGCCTCCCTAAGAATACTACTGCATGTGTGCACTTCTTAAAAGAGTTGCGAATTAAAACTACTTTTACGGATTACAACGCGTTAAATTTAACTTATTTTAACCCACAAGGTTCTCGAGTGGCAGCCTCGTACCGGTAGGCGTAGTGTAGGGCGACCCCCCACTAGATGGTGTGACGACCTGGTAAGACATGCAGGAAGTCGATGGATGCAGGTGGCTCAGGACCGTGCTTTGTGGCCTTACTTGGGGGAGGCCTATGTTCAGCAGTGGACTTGTGAAGGGCTGTAATGATGATGATGATGATGAACCCACGTTTCCAGCACCCAATATCACGAGGAGTTTGACGTTTATATAGGTGGGTCGGAGAACAGAGTCGTTAGTCTCAAAATTAAAGCATGAACGTTTTATTTAATTTAGGCTTGTGTAATATACATCGGTTCGCAAAAAAAGAACTCCTCGAAAAAACTCATTCATTCATTCTTACAGTAGCTTAATATAATAACTTGTTATATTTCACTGGTAATTAAAAATGCATATAATACTTACCACAGCACTTCTATCGACATCTGTGATTGAGCCGGCAGATACTGTAACACATACATATACATCTCAAGATATATAATACTTTTCTTATTTATCATTAACATAGTATAAATATGCATTGTCTAGCAGATATTATTTACGTGTTTATTCTAGTTAGGTACTCTTACAAATTTTTTAGTAAAAGTAGTAAATACAAAGCGGTTCTAAAAAGATATTAAAAATAATCAACAACTTAGAGATTAAGTAATGCATAAAAATGATTTATAAAAATGGAGTTACTTAATTTACTAAAACAAAGTAATATTTAAATACTCTAAAATAAAGAAAAAAAATTTAAATTAAATCAAACCCATGAGTTTATTACATTATATCATTTATATCATTATTAGCTGCAGGACGTAGGTTTTATTTAATATAGAATAAGAGTAGGTACACAGTCCAGCTGATGGCAAATGGATGATATGACCTGTGACCCATAGACATGTACATTTATCTTTAGTTAAGAACGAAAATATAACAGAACGCGAGTAACCCGGGTTCGAACCCCGCCGGCACCAATGAAATTGTTAATTGCAATTTTAAGTGCTGATTTATCACGTGCTCGGCGGTGAAGGAAATCGTGAGGAAAGCTGCATGTCTGAGGAATAAGAAAAAAAATATTTCGAAGACATGTGAAGTTCGCCAACACGCATGCCAACACATGTGGGGCAGCGCGGCGGACACTTCCTTGCCATAAAACCCCCTCAGAAATGAGGGGAGGCCTGTGCCCAGCAGTGGGACGTATATAGGCTGTAACTTTACTTTACTTTAAGAACGAAAATGTAGACGCGCTGTCACCCCTGAGGACTGAGAATGAATGCCTCGTTTGCGGGAACCGGCAAGAAACTCTGAGGTCTTTTTAAACGTTAATAATAACGTAATGTTACAATTTTATTTACAATTACAATCTATCTACATATATAAGCGAAATATCACTGACTGACTCATCACGAGATCTATAAAACTATGTCGCAATGTAGACGCTCACTAAGAACAGGTTTAACGATAACCCCAAAAAAATGCTTAATATCCCTTACATTAATTGATTATTCAATAGTTAACTTAGGGGCTCCCAGAGGTGCTATGTAAACCAAGAAGCAATTTTTACCTCCCGCAGTAAAAAGCACTGCTACTTCCTGCGAAAGCACTACAACTACACCCATGTACTTTCTGTACAGTTAGAATATGTTAATACTAAAAGTCAACGGTTTTCCACAGAACAGTTCTAATTATAGGTATACGACTAGGATTCATAACCTGTTAATGTATATACAACAAAGTTATAGAGGGGAAATGGCATTATCAGAAGCAGTAAATAACAAGTACATGGAATGTTTAGTCATTGACTAGTTATTTGAATTATTTCTCGAAGTTTAGCTATATACTTCGTGCTTAATTAGCCAATGAATTATCTACGGTGTCTATCCTCATTCCTCATTCTTATCAGTCTATAAACAGTCAACTGCAGGACGTAGGTTTTATTTAATATGGAATAAGAGTACACAGTCCAACTGATGGCAAATGGATGATATGACCTGTGACCCATAGACTTGTACATTTATGTTTAATTAAGAATGAAAATGTAGATGCGCTGTCACCCCTGAGGACTGAGATGGAATGCCTTGTTTGCAGAAAAATGTGTATAAAGTACATAGAAAAGTATATAGTGTTTACCTTAATTGCCACTCATTTAAAACGAATTGGCGATCGCGGAACTAGACACTCCTTTTTACCTCCAGTCTACCGGGCATCACCATCTATCAGAGGTTATGTAGTTTAAAGTTAGTTTATGATGATAGTACGTCAGTGTGAGTGGCGTATAAAGTAAGCACACGTGTTGTTACTTTAGCAGTTTATTACACACACTGAATTTAATTAGAAAATGCTTGCATTATGAGTAATTCGCAGCACAGCGGTTTAAAACGCGTAAGCATAATTTAAACGTATGGTATTTGGACCGTATTAAAGATCTTATATAAATAGTGAGAAAAGTCTAATATAAATAGCGAGAAAGATCGTATATAAATAGCGAGAATGTGTATAGATGTGCTATCACCTCTGAGGACTAAGATGAAATGCCTCGTTTCCAGTAAAAAGTGTATAAAGAACATAGAAAAGTACATAGTGTTTGCCGTAACCGTCAAAATTTTCAAACAAATTGGGAATAAATAATTGGTAGGAAAAATCTTATATAAATAACTACAAAGATCTAATATAAATAACGAGGAAGATCTTATAGTATAAATAGCGAGGAAGATCTAATATAAATAACGAGGAAGATATAGTATAAATAGCAAGAAAGATCTAATATAAATGGCGAGAAAGATCTTAACACCGACAATATATGTTGGCCAAGCCTCAACCAACGCGAGCGTAGGCAAATTGATACAAGGCGAGTGCTACAGTCTACACGTTGTTCAAGTTCGAAAGAGACCAATTCCAAGTTCAACGTTCACGAGTTTTTGTGGAGCTATCCACAAGTTGGCCGTAATTAGTCGTTATTGTGAATTGGCACGATATGGACTATTATTATTACAGCTTCTGCTATTTATTTAATGAGTGCATATAATTATTATGTCTGTGTATTCTACAGTAACGTTAAAAACCTTAGATGTCCTCATTAGTATAGAGTGACATTGTCGAAATTATTTTAAAGTTGCAGAGTAGTTGTTACGAGCTTGAGTTTCGTGACAATAAAAACTGCCGATTGAATTACCAAAATTTACACTTTAATTTTCTTTACACCAATTAAAACTTAAAACACTAATAATTAATCACACTGATTCACTTTATTTCGCTCCGAAGCTTCGCTTGTCTCGCCAAATTCAATACTGCCCCGATCGCGGGTTGCAGCGGCTTTAAATACACATTTTCTACCGAAACATCCAGAATATTCCTGTAAATACAGGCGCCGAACGACCAGGCGCAGAAAGTTCGAGTGTGGGGGCTTCTAGAAAGCTTAATTCTTCTGTTCGATACTAGATGGCGCTGTTGGTTGAAAGATTAGTCATGGCATTTTCTGGAAAGCTCTCCTCGCTCTGTTACCCGACACTAGATGGCGCTAGTGCCAGACGTCAACTTAGGCGCGCAACACTGCCCCCTCCTAAGACATGCTCGTCCCGAGCAACCGTTAAGTTGCAAACTGAGTAAGATGTAAATAAATAAATAAACTTCTACATCGTCCATATCGTACCAAATCTCAATGGCGATTATTTACGGCCAACATGTGGATAGCTTCTCAAAACCACGTGAACATTGGTCTTGGCATTGGTCTCTTTCATACTTGACCAACGTGTAGACTGTAGTACTCGCCTTGTATCAATTTGCCTACGCTCGCGTTGGCTGAGGCTTGGCCAACATGAATTGCCGAGGTTATATTAATAGCAAGAAAGATCTTTCATAATTGGCGAGAAAGATCTTATATAAATGGCGAGAAAATGTAGATATGCTATCACCCATGAGGATTAATACGTAATGCCTCATTTCCAGTATAAAGTGTATAAAGTACATAGAAAAGTCATAGGGTTTGCCGTAACCGCTAAACGTTGCAGACGAATTGGAAATCTATAATTGATAAGAAAGTAAGATCTGTCTTACCGAGGAAGATCTAATATAAATGGTGAGAAAATCGTACATAAATGTCGGGAAAATCCTATATTAATTGCTATAAAAATCATATATAAACAAGAATAAAGATGTTATATAAATGGCAAGAAAGGTGTTCTAAGAACGGCGAGAAATATTTTATATAAGGCAAGAAAAGTCCTATATAAATGACGAGAACTTTTTCTTAGAATAGCGATATGAGTGACAGAACTGCAAACTCAGAATATCGTGGGTTCAAATTCGCTATTCCATTTCTGTGATAAACCACTCCTGATATAAGCGTTTTAAGCTAAGCTTTTTTTTCGAATTGGAATTATATATATTAATAGAGCTGCGTCAAAAATATAAAACTTCTAATGCTATGGCCGTCATACCGTCTGCTAAACATAGCGATACGTAGTAGAGCCACGCTTCAGCTATGTCATGATTGTGGCACAAATAGGTCGGCCCTATCGATAGCAGCACCACGCTCTCACGGTATACTATCAGCTTAATAATGCTGTTGTGTTTCGTATGGTGAGTGTATAGAACCAAAAACCCTTTTTAAAGGTAACGAGGCTTTCCATCTTAGTCTTAATAAAAACGCATCTGCATTTCAATTTTAAATCGAGGATAGATGTAGAAGTCAATATGCCACAGCAACCACTTACCATTAGGTGGACTGTACGCTTGTTTTGAACCCATTTTCTGTAAAAAATAAATAAACGCGAGAGGCATGTGTACAGAAATGGAGGTTAACGGACCAATAGTGAAGAATACCAGGATGTCTCGTAACTAGACGCCGCTCTATATATCTCTCTGCTCTAAATATTTAAGAACTTGATGTTGCAGAGACTGTTATTACGTTATTTATTTATACTATTGCCGTGGTATATCAGGGTCTTTGCGCTCGCCGTAAACATCAGAGTACGCGAACAATCTGGGTTCGATCCCCGCCAGTACCACTGCAACTGTTAATTTGCAGTTTTCAGATCTGATTTACCACCTGCTCGGCATTATTATAAAATCTTCATATCTGTGCAATCAATCATTCTGAGGAAAAGTGAAGTCCGCGAACACACATGGAGCAGCGCGGTAAACAAATTGCTCCACAACCCTCGCGAAATAAAAGAAGTATTGTGCCCAGCCGTGGGATGTAGGAGTATGTTAGGGTCCAACTGTACTATACTTTACCGTTACAGCCTATTAAAGTCCACTGCTGGACTGGACATATGGCTCGCCCATAGATTGCCTCATATCGGGGATATGTGCCATTGTTGCCACGCCTGACAAGGGGGTTGGCAACCGAAGTTTTTATTTTATTTTTAGTCGTTATTAGAAAGACGTTGCCAATCTCCTCATTAGTCCCCCTCTGCCACCTCTTACGACAACCAAATTA